AGCCTTCCTCTTCTTCGCTTTCCTTCCGGATTCCAAGTAGGCGCTTGCCTCGTGATGCAATTTGGTGATTTCCTCAATGTAAGTCCCATCCACTTCCAACGTTTTTTCCTAATTTCCTTTTCATGTGGAAGCTAGTTTTATCTCTACCACAGTAGGTTGATGTTCGATATCGATTAACTAGCATTTTATTCAACATTTGTTACCATTACTGATAAGAAAATCAGCTTTTTTTGTGAAAATACTGTTCAACAATTAAACATTAATTAATTCTATAATTTAATTCTCCTTAGTTAACTTGAATGACTGTTTTCTTTCTCACGTATCATTTAAAAATAGTTACACTAGTTACATTTAGAGCATAGATGAAGGATTGACTCATTTTAATAAAATATTAGCTTATTAATATCTCAGAAGGACAAATATTTGTAATTAATATATAAGCTGAGAGTTATGTTTAACATGATGAAAATAATCCTGATAAGTTCATATCAATAATGAACTTTTTACCATTAATTGAATGTTTATTTATTTTTGGATATAAATTCACTCCTATACCCTAAAGATTATTACTGAAGAAGTTAAAAGACTGAAAACATATTTCATTTTATTGTTTAAATGAATTTACAACATAGAAAGTATTGAACTTCATATGATACAAAAGCGGCCTGCTTGAACATCTGGGCTACCTGTTCCTGCTATCTAGGTATTTCAACAAGTTGTCTAATTTTCTTTGTCTGAATACATCATTATGGCTATTAATCGCAGAACCTATTCAAGTGCGTTTCTGAAAAGTGTACAAATTTCCGTTGTACAAGTTACAAAGTTCTAATCAGAGATACTGTGGTTTCCGGCAATATGCAATATGTACATTATTTAGATGTCAATTAACTGGACTGCTAAATTCTAACTGGCAATCACTCAATATTTGTCGTCAGAATCGATCAAGAAGTAAGAAATGGAAACTTGTTGAAATTCATTGTGCTGAGACTTCTATATTGTTCCAAAAACATAATACTGAAGAAAGCTAATAATAATGATAAATTTATACATAATATAAACTAAATAACAACTAATAATGCAATTAAGATGATCAATTGTTAAAATTACATGGTTAGCGTTTTTTTAGGGATTTGGTTTTTTACGGGATGGGGTTGCTAACTCCATGCTCAACCCTCCTCCTTTACCCGGGCTTAGGACCGGCAGTCGCCCCCAGAGGAGCTACAGGTGGAGTTAAAATTACATAGTAAAATAAAAATTTTGTTGACCTTAATTACATCTTTCATTTGATTTTACTAATAAATCAAAATCAAATTTTTAAAAAATTCAATTCTTAATGCTTCAACAGTTTGTTTGAATCATAATGCTTTCTCAGAAAGTATAAAAAAGTATGTTAACACTTTCTCATAGTTACAGATTTATACAAAAACATCAATGACTCTAAAATTAAACTGATTATGATATCCATTATATAATGTTATACTAAATGTATTTCTGGGTTAATTTATTCAATAAGTTAATCAAATGAATTAACTAATTAATTACAAATTTATAAACAATTATCTCCTTATACGGATGAAAAGTTGACGAAAAACAGCCTCACACGTCAAACTTGGAAGAAATTTATTCATTAATCAAAATACGTCTAACTATGGAATGATTATTATTATTATTAGAGGGTATAACTTTGTTATATAATCAGTTGGATATCTCCACCAATTTTTCTGACTAGTCAACAGTTCTAATTAAGTCAAATTTTAAATTCAATTGTTAATAGTCTAAATATGAGTAGTAACTAAGTGAAATGTAGTAATGTTTTAATCTTAACTCATTAAATCCATTCGTTTAATTTTAAACATCCATTAAACTCGTTTCCAACAATGTAATTTATAATTTAATTTTGATTTTTATTAAATCAACCAGTTATAATATTTGGTGACATTTTTTCTTTTGTAGAATAAACACGTACTTCGAGTAGGTAATATGCATGAAAAAAATCTACCAAAATTTGTACACGATGAAATAAATCATTTGTATTTGATCTTTTGTACTGTAACAATTTCTAGGAATCTAGCATAAATATATAATCAAAACTATACATTATTAAATTGCTTATCTCTTGACTTATTTTTTTCTTAAATAAAATAAATCATATGAAATGATGATTCAATGAATATGAGGGTATCTAAGTTGAACCAGTGAAATTTAACAATAGTAAGAGTATCAGAAAGGGGTTTCGAGGAGATTGTAGTGATTTAAGAGTTGAATTCATAAGTCGATTAAAGCTAGATCACCTTGGAAAACTTGGAAGCACTGGACAGTCGTTTCGTCCTAGTATGAGACTTCTCAGTGATGTGCACTTACTACCTCGTATGCGGGAATCAAACCCAGGACATTTGGTTTCGCGCGTAAACGCTTAATCTTCAGATCACTGAGCCGACATCCAACGGTGTTAATGTCTAACTACAACCAATCCATGAAATTGCCCCATGGTCTTCAGTGATTTACTGCTTCACAACAGACACGGTTGAACTCTATTGGTCGCAGCTACTCACTAAAACTTCGGGAAATACCTCTTGAAGCACGAGAATGAAGGTCCTAGGTTCGTGGATGTACATTGCTGAGGAGTCCCATACTAAAACGAAACGACCGTCCAGTGATTCCAGGTTTTCCAAAGTGATCTAGCTTTCATCGACTCATGAATTTAACCATTAAATAGTATTATTAATCTAATTTAAACAAAATGATTTTTAAAGTTTAAATAGGACAATTGTGCTTGAACTTCGTAATCACAGTGAAAATGGTAATTAACAAATCATTAATCTAAACAAAAATAACAGCTTCAATATTATGAAAGTGAATTTCTTCAACTACTTTAATACAATGAAGTTTTAGAATTATGTTTTATGAGTTAATGTTACGTTGCTTCTTGTATTATATAATGGAGATTTAAGTCGGAAGTAGATTTTTGAAGTATGATTATATTCACTGATCTGGCTTATTGAATTTTAAACTTTTTATTATTAATCTTAAGAAAAAAACCAACGTTTATTGATGTGATATCAAAGTGTACCGTTTTATACTTTTTTTAAAGCTTTATAAAAATGGACATCCACTACACTATATGAGACTGAGATCAAAATTTATTAGGTTTTACATCAGTTAGAATACTATTATGATTATGGATTCAATAGATTCATATTTTGTAACTTTATTTAATTCATGGTATAGTTCAAGGAGCCAGAAGATGTGAAAAATTTCAATAGGAATCATATCTTGAATCATTTAACAAAAGCAGTCTGGTTGGATGTAATAGTTATACGCCGTACATAAGAGAGATATTCGGTGAGATTATAAATTATGAACGACTTTTGAGCAACGCTAAAATGAACTTTCGATGTCCACCCACTTACTAGGGTTAAATGAAGGTTATAGATTAATGTGAAGGAATTAGGATAAGGATTAACAGTTAAACGTTAGGGTTAGGTATTAGATTTGATATTTCATTACGAATAGATATTGGCTATAATGCTAAAACGCTATTTAGACAAATGAGAGAACGAATTTCGCGGCATAATTCAAGACTAGATACCTTAAATATTATTAGACCGTCCACAAATTATAGTCTAGCCAAATATTCCTGTTTTTTTCAAAGAACTGAAATAATTGTTTTCGAAAATACTTTTATTTATGATTTAATGTTTAAATCCACATTTGTTTATTATTCAACAATCGTAAGCAATAAAATGCTTTCTACAAATATATATGTAATATATATCAGAAGGGGTTTTGTGGAGATTTAGTATTTATCATAGTTGAAAGCTTCAATTGACTCACGCTTTCAACTATTTGTTTTAAACTATTGATTTAAATAATCAAGAATGCACATTTTGGTTACTTCAAAATATTTTCTATATTGGTAAAGGGTTGTGAAATTAAGTTCTGGTTTCAAATAATCACTGTATTAGGGACTGTTTACTTAGTTTTGAATATAGCATATTCATATATGAGGTGAATGTAATTGTTAAAAAAACCACTGCTCACATGATCTCAACTGTTAAATTTACTATAATATCCACAAAACCCCTTCTGATAATAATGAAGTTGTTAAAAAAAAACTTGAAGATCGTATATTTAATCACCGGTGAGATTGAGGATGATAAGTTCTGTACCAGGAAATCGATTTTATCTTGTTTATATTAGTGTCCTAATTAATATCCATCCTTTATATAAAACATTATCAAACAAGTAGTTATCACAAGTATGAGACAGTGCAATAACGGATTCTATAGTTCTATAACTTACTTAATTTACCTACTTATGCCTGTTAACCCTCGTGGAGGAGCATGGTATTCTTTCGAGGATTATGATCAGACATTTGAGTGATTCGTAAACCCCACAAGTTTTGTTTGAAAACCATATTATTGGAGAACAAAAATGATCTAGTTACTTACGTCTTTTACCCCTCGTGGAGAAGCATAGACTTCCCACCACTATTCTCTATCGGACTCTGCCCTGGAAAATACTTTCCAAATGTTTCCGGTTGCTATTCATCCGATTCTCGGAGAAGTGTGTTCTTTGGTTTCACTCTTTTTCGTTTCCTTTCAGGATTTCAAGTTAGCACTTGCTTCGTGATGCAGTTTGATAATTTCTGGAACGTATGTCCTATCCACTTTCAACATCTTTTCCTAATTTTCACTTTAGCTCGAAGCTGGTTTGTTGTCTCCCATAAAACGCTGTTGCTGATAGTATCCGGCCAGTGAATGTTGAGTATTTTGCATAAACAACTGTTTATACATATTCGTACCTTCTTGACGTAGTTCTATAACTAGCCACAGAATACAAGTTTTGTCTTGAAGATCTTCATTACTTTGTCATAGAATAAAAAAAAATTCAACTTCAAAAAAACAGTTAATCTATTTATTACCATTAATATTTATAGCTTAAACTATATGTAAAACCAATTCTTCTTCTGTTTTTCTTCTTATTTTCATTTTTTTTAGTAATACTTGGTATTATATTAATAATTCTATTTGGTATATTCATTTATTATTGTCATCTACGTTATTCACGTTATCAATCTGCTTATGATACAGATGAAGCACTTGGAAATAATTTTCAATCAGCTGAACATGCATTACAACAAAAATATCATAATCATCCTGATGTTAAAGCTGAATTGTATATATAAATGTACATATTTATTCTCTTCTATTATAATAAATATTTTACTATTATTCCTTATTTATACATTTATATAGATTCACGATAATACATGAATTAAAATTGTTTAATTTTTTTTTTAAAAAAAACAATAAAGGAAAATCAATCAATTATTTATTCAATAATTGTGCATTGTACTCTAATATGTAAGATATTGATATAATTGTTTATATTAAAACAGTTTTAAAATTTGAAAAATCATACACACACTCACATACACACAAACACACACATAAACACCCATACACACATGAACACATAATGTATAGTTAATGAATAATTTTGACAGTTAAAAAAAGAAAAAAAAGAGAAAACAAAACAATTCTTATGAATAGAAGAGTTTTGTGGAGATTTTAGTAATTATATATATATATATATATATATATATATATATATATATCATCAGTCAATTGAAGCTAGACTACCATTGAAAACTGTCCAGTGTTTCCAGGATTTCAATGGTGGTATAACTTCAATTGACTCATGATTTCAACGATATAAAATTTTGTTTTATTATTATTTTTTCAATATTTATGTACAAATTTCATTTCTTTTTTTTATTATTGTAATATAGAAATAAATATATTCCCCCCCCCATATATAGTTTATCGTGCATGTATTTATAGTTGTACAGATATAAATAAATCATATTAATTATCTTTTATAATTATTATTATTATTATATTTAATGTACAAATTTTATTAAAATAATGATTACGTAATGGAAAAGAAATTTACTCATTGAAATATATTTAATTATGTAACATTAAAATAAATAAATAAAACGTTTGTTTTTCTGATTTTATTTAAATGATATTTTATTAAATTCAATATTCATTTATTATTTATCTTAGTTTATCATAATCTAATTGAATATGGAACTTCGATTTTTTTTAATTTTTTAAAAAAGAAGAAAGGTTTATAGTTTTTTGTTGTTGTTGTTGTACAATTTGTATGTCTTGGTTACAAGAAAAATTTCTCTTTTTTATAAATAAAAATTATATTGATTGAATTATACTTTAATCTCCCTATTCCTTGATTTTTCTTTTGTTTTTGTATTACCCTTAATCTAAAGTATAATTTTGTATAAAACTTTAATGATGTTTTTTTCTGTTTTTCTTTTATTTATTATGAGTGTTTATTTTAAATGGAAAAAAATAAAATTCATAAATGATTAATTTATTGGTTGTTATTTGATTATTATATATAATAAATAAAATATTAATGACACAACATGACATTCACTTGGTATTGTTTGTTTGAATCTTCCCATTGATGTTTTCAGGACTGTAATTGATCAGTCTCTAATTGACATATGTGCCTACTGTGCATATTGTATCGATATAGTCTTTATTCACAAACGTTATAAGCAAAGATGGATAATGGCAAGCAGTGGAATCCAGGACAAACAATACCAAGTGAATTCAAACTTTACCCCATTACACAAGCAAGTGGCTATCTGGACTCAGTAGCTAAGTGGATGGAGCGATGGCGTTTGAAACGAACGGTACCGGGTTGTGGTACCAGAGTGAATATCAACGCTGAGAAGCAGGTACATCCAGCTAACGAGTTCCCAATAGGACGAAACGCGCTTCGTGGATTCCACTGCTAGCCACTGTTCATCTTTGCTTATAATGACATTAATATTCATTATATAATTGTTGTCAATTTCATATTATATACTATTGTTTATTTTTATTGAACAGCTGATGGTTAGAGATTATCGACTTATTAATTTAGATTGTTTCGTAAATATATTAACTTCATTTTGATACTATATAGTAATATAGAAAGTAATATAGAAATTTCATTTTTCATATGCATTATTATGTTTGTTGAAAGAAAGCTGATTTTTGTATGTAACAATCTAATTCCCATAGCAGATGAAATCATATATACTTACTGTGAAAATAGTATTTTGAAACAAATAAGAGACTGTTCATAGATCTGCAAAGAGATCGATGTTTACCTGTGAAACATATAGTGAAAGTAAGTAGATCAGGAAAAGCTGAGCATATGCTGTGTGAAAACTATAGTCGCATAACAATAATTTGAAGTGCTAAGGACTCAAAAATTGCTTACAGTTCAGTTGAGGCTTGAATATATTAGTCGTAAAATTTCTGAACTGGACGTTAGTTTAAAGCTCACGTTTAAAATCAGTTTCCTTAAAATTGCAAATACGCTTTTCCATTGAAAGTCAGCGAGAAGGATGATTCTATTGTCAGATGAATTAGACTTCCTTCAAACGAATTTCATAATTAGTTAAATAATAAAATATTAATGAGACTGTAGTTTATTTTTTAAATCTTTTTTAATCAATATTATTTATAAATCAGTATGCATGATTGACTTGAAAACCAGAGTGATAAATTTAGGAATAAGACTATTGTAAACAAATTTACATAACTAAATTGAACTGGGAGTAAAGTTACAAATTTACACTTCGTTTAACTTTTAAACTGATTTCTCAATACGATTCAATGACTCGTATTCAGTAAAAATATAATACATACCTCAATTACCAGTAAGTCATTAGCATGGCGTCAATATGAGCTTCATTATAAATTATCACAGTTCCAAGTATTCAATTATTTTTACAATGAATGTTCTGTAATAAAACAGAATGGTATAATCTAAAAATCTTAGTTGTTCACTAAAATCATTGCACTGAATTTACTAGCTTAATGGATGATTATCATAATCTAATGTCCCTTGTAATCACATGAAATTGTTTCCTTTATGCATATAAATGGAGAAACTCAAATCAACATGAACTAATACAATCAATTTCTGTCTGAATAATTATTTCATCTCAAAGATCAGTAGACATTAGTTAATCAACTAACGTATATTCCTTCGTAACAATATAATGAAAATTATTTTCTATTTATTATTTATACTAAAATTTATGATAATAAATGAGTATTTATTGTACTAAACAAAACTTGCCTAGTATAAAGTTATTCACCTACATTCGTATGATAGACCTATTACTTAAATAATTGAAATATCTCAATCGTGTTGATATCATGAATAAATGTCTGCAGGAGCCTCTTTTTCATTCTACACAGGAATCTTACAACTTTTTATCTTCTGTTTAAAGTAAACATATTGAATAACAAGTCATCCTTTCAAATTCCATTCAGATTTTATTTAAAATTAAGAAACCGAGTATTATTACAATACTTAAAATCTATTTCATTTATTATCTTATTTTTTTCATCTAAATTGTCATTTTTCTTTGTATTTCGTTGATTTTTCAAGAAACGATTAATTGTTGAGTAGCTTCACTTGTCAGATTTGTTTAGTCCCATAGCGCTTATCAAGTTTGATTTACCGTTACTAGTCTAAGTAACTTGACATCACATTCACTAAGCTGAGATGTTAGATGGTTGAGGTCAGTTAACAGAATACCAAGGACTAGTGACCACATTACAATCTGGTCGAAAAGCTTCAGTTAGCCCTTAAGGAATAAAGAGACATAGGATTGAGGACTACTCAGTGATCAATCATCTGTAAACATCTGAGTCCTGTAGTATGCTACTTGTGACTTGTAAAGCTCAATGGTAAAATCAAAAGCTGTGAAACTGAAGGACTTAGGTTCGAATCCAACAAGAGACATTGGTCTGGTCATGATTAAAATAAGATATTGCTAGCAAATGCTGACTATCAAGAGACTTAGGTCTAGAGTTTCCTTTTGAATACCTCCAACTGCTTAACAACAATGTTCCCTGGATTATATTAACCAACCGTTTCATTAATTTTTTAAAATCTAGACATCTTTACAAATGACTACAAAAGACATTAAGGTTACTAGTAAAGATTATGTTTATTGTTTTAAAAAAAATATATAAGGCATATCGTTTGAATATACCACTGGCTATAATAATACACTAAAGATTTTGACATCATTGGAATAGCTGAAATACATTTAAAAGAATACTTTTACTATTGAATTCAAATATGTTTCTATGAAATGTACAAGTTCAAATGATGATCATGATTTCATAGATCAGACATACTAATTTTGAATAAAATGTTTAGCATACAAACTAAAAAGAAATACCTATTGAGTCACTAAAAAGAATGAAGATGTTTCAGTGAAGAGACGTTTCTTTACGAATATATTTTCTGAAATTATACAGTCGTATTTGTAAGCAGTTTTGTATATGTATTAGTCTTTAGTACAGTGTGCTACGAGATCATCAAGGAAAGAAAAACTTATTCAAGTCTCGGGCATGAAAGTCAGTGACACTTGAAATTAAGTTATGTGTATTGTAAATAGAAAGTTTCCCAATAAACAAACTATTTGTCACAAAATTTGTTTGGTTAGTAATTGAGTTATTAAATTTACTCATCAATATGACTGGGTAGTGACCAATGTCATTCAAGTCCTTCCTAGTGTCGATCAAAGTTTATTCCAGTTGACCAGCATGATAAAGGACTTAAAATGCCTGACTTTGGTCACTACTCCGTGATCAATCAACTACCAATACAGCTCAGTCGTATAAGTGGTCAGTCGCGGCCCGGAGAGTTCAGTGATAACATCCTTGACTACAAAGCAGGATGACATGAGAACAAATCTGCCAGTTCCTATAAGACTGCAGATACACCTTGCTAACAAATGCCATGTAACACGAGACCCAGGTCCAAGGTTTTCTTCAACCGCCACCTAACTGTAACCGATGATGAACTTACTTTTCCGACTGAGAAATCGTAGTCATTCAATTATGTTGCCAATTAAAATGTGGATAATATTCTGGTAAAAAAGAAATGGTTACTAATTTCCTGCATAAAATTTACCAAAAAATTTCATTCAATTTGTAGTGTACTCAACTTTCTAACAGAATAATGCATTAATGAGCAGTCATACAATAACTCATATGAAGGCGCACTCCTTAAACAAAAGTAAATTGGCCTAAAATATATGATCTATGACATAAAATTATTGACTTGAAAAAGTTAGATCATAAAAATTTGTACAACATATTTTATTGATTACTATGAGTATTTAAAGATATTTTACTCTGGATAAATCAATTTCATTCGAACACCAAATACAATTGATTGATCATTTGGTGGTGATCAATGTCATGAGTGTCAAGTCCTTCTTAGTGCAGATCGAATGCTACCACTCAAGTTCTTATGTGGCCATTAGTCTAATTGACTCGACACTGCGTGCACTATGTTGAGATAAGATGGTGGTTGGAGGTGGTTAACAGGAAACCATGGACCCGCGTTTTGTGCTACTTGACACTCGTCAGCAAGGTGTACTTTTAATCTTGTGGGAA